AAATACATCATAGCTGTTTTGTTTTGATCAGTTTCACAACAAGAAGGGACATATAAGATACTTTAAAGAATGTTGACTGTGTGGTATTTTTTACAAAATGTTGTAATCCAGTTATTTTAGTCTGTCTGTTGATTGTTTCCATTATAGGAAGAGCCAAAAACAACAAAGTGAAACACATTTACTTCTATTTGTGTCATGTATTGCTTTTGTTTGACTGAGGAGTTCACACAAACACCTCAAAAGTGTCAAGAAAATTACATTAATTACATTTACCGAATTTCCCGGAGGAACCCACCTAAGGGATTTATAAAGTTTCATCTAATCTTTTATCTAATCTAATTTAATGAAGCGTAGGAGCATTACAGTGTAGAAAAACTGGGCATTCCAAATTACAATACAGTAAAATGACAAAAGTATTAAAATATTAGAATCAAGATAAAGGTTAAAGTAGCAATTTTAAAATCTATTTTATATATATTGTATTTTGTTTTATTTTTCATTCTTCATAGTAACTAGGTAAACTCAAAGTAGTAGGATCACTACATAATATTTCCTCTCAAATGTATTGGAGAAGAAGTATAATAAAGCAGCAACTGAAAATACTCAGGTAAAGTGCAGCAAAGTGCATATTTAAGTATTGCACTTGTGTAAATGTCGTTAGGTACATTCCACCTCTGCAGCTGACTGACATGTTGGACTGAACCGTGAGGTTCCAGTTATACGAGTAAGACTGTACAAGTAACCAAATGGTGACCACATGTGCTCATCACCTCTAATCTGAACCTATAAAGCGATAAAGATTGCGAGAAAACGTGGAGAAACGATTAGCTGTTTGGTCAGCGAGGCCTTCAGTCCAATCCAACAGCCTAGGAGTTTTCAGTAAGCAAACAGCTATGATTAAGAGCACGTATGTGGATGATATATAACCTGTGGAGTGTTTCTTTAAAAAAAAAAAACACGATAAGAACCACTCAGAGTCACACCTCAAATGTGAAGGGAAAAGGTTTTTGTTGTATCCCCACTTAAAGTGTGACTCTGAGTGGGCCCTGAGTGTTCAGTAGGTGGAAAGATATTTGTCTGATATGCAGGGAAACGTCACAGGTTTAAACTCTGAGCTTATTTTACATTCAATGGAAGCATGAGAATAAAGTTATTTAACCTAAGATGACTCATAGCTGTTGCAACAGATTTCTGACCATCAATTATTACTAGAAAATGCTCCTTCAACAGGAACTATGACTGTTATTTGGGTTTACAATGTCATGTTTTTCTCATTTGTCATTTGTCAAGTCGTGTTGAAACTCCTTGACAACCGATTGTTTGAAACACTGCTATGTTTCAGTGAGGCGGTGACAAAAGCGTGAACTTGAAAAATGAAGTCAATAAAAGACAAAATAACACAAGACTTCAACCTTCAGAACAGCGACTAAAACTTCATAATAGTATTTTTGTGGTCCACTTATTTCATTCTCAGAACGTAAGGTCACTAAATTTCAACAACTATGTGTGTATTTCAGTCATGCTTCTGTTTGCCAATCTCTTGTATCTGTTGTTTGATTGTCGAAGGGTTAGAAATTCATTGTTGATCATCAGCCATCCAACGGGATAATGAGCTTTTTTCAATTTAAAATTTTAGGGTTGCTATTTTCTCTTAATCAATCAGTAGTTCTGGTGTCAGTCCTAGCAATGACACCATTTGCTCTCAGTTGCGAGTAGCAGTTTGTGAATTTTTCATCCATGCTTGTCACCCAGTTGCGGCTATTTTATTTTTTTTAAACTAGGGACGCAATTGTCACTCAGCATTAGAAGAAACTGAATCCCTGAAACTCCCTCAAGATATGTGAAAGGTTGCAACATAGAGGTCCAGTCCTTTCTCATTTGCTATAATGTGTTTCCAGAGAGCACTGTCTGAAAAAATAACAATGAGAACATTTAGTCCAAAAATGTCTGAAGCCTCAGATAAGGTTCATATCTTCGCTGTGAATTTTGTCCTCCCCCATATTGAAAATTTCTTCACTCTTCATTGCCTTGCTGTGACTGTATGTGCTTTAAGCCCATGACTCAAACTTGAATTTCTGTGCAACTGAATGATCACTTCATTATGTGCAAGGTTGGGAACTGTCTTGCACATAAGAAATCTCAAAAAGCATAATCTCATTTCAATTCAAACATTAACCCATTGCCATTTTTTATTACATTTTTTGTTTTTAATCCCAGTAGGTAGTAACCAAAGTTATCAACCAAAAGCAGTTGTAATGACTGATCAGTATGCAATTGTATTTATTTTGAGTAAAATCAGATTTAGACACAAAGGCCCTCTCAAAATTTAGGTAAAAATGTAAGAGACACCTTTGAGGCCTTGTCCTGTTGGTATATTTCAACCATAAGTGCTGTTTGCTTATCAAGATCATGCAAAAACTACCAAAACCAAAAATTCAGGGGAACGGCCAGAGAAAATGCCATTTTCCCCAGTTAATAATTCCTCTTTACTTGAGGCCAATCTTGGCTTAACTTAAATGCTAAAGCTATAATAGTGACACAGAGATAAACACTGATTGTCACACAAAGTGTCATCTAAACTACCAGGAGCAATTTGGGTCTTGACTCAGGATGCACCTGTAGATTGAGGAGTGTTCTGGTACTTTTGGAATTTCTTTGGCCTACAGTGCTCGGCTGCACGGCCCACGAAGTCCCCCGTGGCGGTTGTCATATAGAGAACCATCTATCAGCAGGCATGATGAGGCTCTGGTATCTGATTTCAGCCTCCTAATATTTTCTAACTGCTGAGCGGTTCACCTCAGGCAACATTTTTAAAAATGAACGTAACGTCGTGATATGAAAACCTCCTCAATTTCTGATATTATCTTTAGCTTTGTGTCAGCGTGTCAGTTGTTGCGGTATCTCTTCAATCTTTGATAACAACGTGTTCTATTCTGAGAATATTGGGAAGGGTTGATTTTGGAGGGAGCTGCATATGTGTGTGTGTGTGTGCGTAGATGTTTGTGTCTAGCTGGGCTCCCTGTGGTCATTCTATTGGTCTTCTGGGTGGGTGGTCTGTTCCAAGAGAGGAGTACTGGAAACATTATACCAGCGTACACACACGCACACTTTTACACATGCACAAAGGGAAACTGGGAATCACACCAACGCAGCACAGCAGAGGGTGGAGCCGGCAGGAGTCTTCTTCCAGATGTGTGATATTAATTTAGTTGATCCAAAACATGAACCGGTAGCTCCCACTCAGTCATCACCGTTTAGCATGTGTGTGTGTGTGTCTGCTGCTGGTGGTGTCGCAGCACTCGACCTAATTTTTTAATATTTTCAGACCCATAAAACACCTGTAAGTTTTTATTGGGATAAAGTCTATTAATTTGAACCCTAAGTAAGAGATAGAAATCAAGACTGACTCAAATTCATGAGTTTCAGGTGGAGGAAACTACAGAGCAGAGCGGGCTAGAGAGAGGAGAGGTACATGATTAAAAAGGGGGGAAAGATTAGGAGTGGAGCAGGTTATGAGAACAGCCTCCACTCTGACCTGTGGAGCAGCGCCCCTGGACTTTCATACAATACATTCCACCGGGGAGGAGAGGGGGATACGGTGCATGGAAAGACAAAGAGACAGAAAATGAAATTAAATAGGAAGAGCGGAGGAGGAGAAGGAGACAAGATGTAGGAGGACGGAAGTGGTTGATTGGGTTCCCCCAGAGATTCTTTTGTTTAGATTGTTCTGCATTTCACTTCTTTCACTCTCTCCCCTCCACCTCCCACTTTTTGACATCTGAGGTAGATTACAACAGAGACCCTGGGTCACATTTATGACTTAAACCAAGAACATATGGTGTGTATGCGTGTTTGAACATCCATTTCAGTACAGTGGGATTCCCCTACGGTCCTTGAGTGGTGGTCAGATTTATTTTCTTGTCCATTGTCTCTTGCTGGGATATCAAAGGACTATTGTTTGTTGATCAGCAAGGGTTCCTCAGGTTACTTGCAGGTCCTGGACAAAAGTGCTTTGCCTTTCTTCCACATCTTCCCTTCTTATCTCCTTCTATTTTTACTTTTTAAGTATGCTGGCCCTACCGCAGAAAAGCCAAGAAACAAAGGATCAGCACTTCCACAGAAATGTTGTTAAGATTATAAAAGATTAAGCGCGGTTATGTCTTGTTTGTCTTGTTTGGTCAGGCATGTTTATTGTTCCAAAGGTACCTGACTTTCTATTTGTACTGCAACGGATTTGATTTTATACGAAGTTCACAGACAGATTACCAACTCCACCACTGCAGCATGTTGTTAGCAAGAAGAAAGAAGAAATATTCCCATTAACTTCAGCACAACAAGCACATCTGTAAAAGTGTCAGTTGACTTTATTAGCATCAGCTTCACTCAGTTGAAGAAAAACAACTTTTGTCTTTGGAACGTTTAACCATGGAAGAAAAAAAAAAAGCATCTATAAAATAAGTTGCTGGAAGGACAATATATAAAACAATGGCATCAAAATAGGTTTGACAAGAAGAAAAAAACAAAGAAAAAAGGCTCAAATATTTTTGGATGCGGGGCATTTTTCCTCTGTTTGCCCTGTTGTTTACAAAAAATAACAAAAGAGGAAAACAAACAAAAAAATGTATTTACAGTGCATATATTTACATTAAGGCATTTTTGCTGGGGGAAAAAAGACGGTTGATCAGATACAACCCCTGCTTCTACACAATCAAATAAATAGTCAGATTTACCATTATACATTACAGTGCTATATTATCGATATGCTACCTGCAGTGAATGAACAAATACAGTTATAAGTGCAGGCTAAATCTCCCCATCAAATGGACATTCAGGCGTACATTAAAGGATAGGTTCACACTTTTTTGTTATGCTTTTTTTGTTTTAAACAATACTCCATATCCATATGTACATTAAAAGAGTTGGTGATTGACGAGATCCGTTTGGGGAGCGATTTCAATGCAAGCAATTGGGCAAATTCAATATTCTGTGGGGGTGGGGGTGTGGGGGTGGGGGGGGGCAAACTAATCTTCAACTTTAGAAGCTGAACCAAAGTTTCAACAAGTTAATAATAAATTTTAAAAAACAAAAAAACAAAGTGAACCCGTCCTTTAACAAAACGTGTCCAGGAGTAGTTAGAGCCAAGATAGCTCCGTAGAGCCAGAGCATCCCAGGATGTCCGCGAAGTGGCCAGAGCTGTGCTGTTACATTACCACAAGGGTGGCTACCTTATAATTCAAGAGATTTACCTTTTCAAAGCTAAACCTAGAGATTTAACAGATTTAGTTTTTCTTTTCTTAAAAAGCACCATGTTTTTAAAACGATTGACTACACTCATCACAGCTCTGCTACTAGAGAACAAAAACACATAAATGAGAGAAAGAGGCACTTAATAAGGTGTTGGCGATGTGTTGAACATGATGCTTTGGTTAAAACAATTAACAGAAGTAAAACGCTGGGTGAGACTGATCTACACTAATAGCATGCTGCATTTTGAAGACACTTCAGTGCACATTCAAGTTTGTGCATCAAATACTGTCGATTCTGTATTAACTGAATGAGTCCTAGAACACGTCTATGGGTTCTGCTTACATTTCTCTGGATGGAAATCCATCAAAAGACGACCTGAATAATTCATCATCTAATTGCTGCTCTTTAGCATCCATCCACCTCCCTCTGTTTCTCAATCGTCTTCCAATCTCCTCTCTCTAAAATCAAAAATTTCTCCCTCTCGGTCTTTCTCTCCATCTCCATCTCCACCCCCACACTCTCACTTTTTCCCTGCTCTCTCTTCCCTCTCTCCAGAGTACAAATGCCTTCAATTTTTAATATCTGAACAGCAATGATTTGTGTGGTGCACACAGAGATGTAGTCCAGTAGTGATAATGATCGTTCCAGTGGTGAATGAGATACTTGGGCCAAAAAGGCTGAGGCTTAGATTACCAATTCTAGTGCAAATCTAAGGATTTGGTAAAGAATAAAAACCTGGACATTCCAGTTCTAGAGAGAAACTAACAAATCAATGAGTAAACAAAGATTTGGCTTGACTAGTTTTGCAAACAAAAGCTTCTCTTTTATAAAAGAAAATTAAGCCAGTTCTATGTTACAATAAAGACAAAAAAGATGCTGTTTTAATTCATTCCAGTCACACCCCATCTCATCTTTTCATTTGCCCAAACACATCTATAATATGTGTATCTGGTGGTTAAGGGACCAGAAGATCATCTGGCCACCATCTTCCTACTTTAAAACCTCCAAATTGTTCCACTTGGCGTTAAGAGCAACATGTTTGTTAGGCTATCGAAGTGTTTTAGCCCACGACAGCAGCACCAGGAAGAGCTGTGATGTCACTGAAAGTCACTCTGCATCAGGCAGCTCGTGTAGCTGCGGGACACGGAGTGAATGCTTTATGTTTTGTCAAGATAGTGCTTGTATTTTTGAGCATGTGTGCAAAACGTTGCTAGTTCTGGTGTCTCTTCATGTGCAGGGCAAGGTGATCCGATCGGGAGAAGGAGCGTGAGCAGACGCCACACTGGAAGGGTTTGGCGCCCGTGTGTTTCCTGTAGTGACGCGTCAGCTCATCCGAACGAGCAAAACGCCAGTCGCAGCTGTCCCACGTACACCTGTACGGCTTCTCGCCTGCAGGACAGGAGAAAGAGTTTGAGTGAGTGCAAACCGCCGTGCCGTCTGGTGATCTATTCTGAGCTATCGCTTGATCACACGATACGAACCAGAGCAGAACTGTCAATATTCAGGTACTAAGAACAACAATTATTGTGACACAAACCAATTCTCTAACTAAAGCGATTCATACAGTTGGGTGGAGGAACTGGGAAAACAGGTTTCACCGAAAACGCCAGTTGTCTAACTAGATATACAGTCATAACACTGTCACTCAAAAGCATTCATCAAGCATTCACACGCCAATGCAGCAACCAGTGCTTCATAATTTTCCCACAGTGCCTGGTCTGTATTGTCAACTTTTCCCTCCAGGTATTTTTCTTTAATGACTGCAGCACATATGTCTTTCTGTCAGTCATTCCAGCAAAATTCACCTGCAGCTTCAGGCACTTTCTGAAAAACCAGTCTGCTCTGCTCGTTGTCCCTCTGGGAGAGTTTTGTCTTAGGCCCACAAGTTGACCAGTGTATACTCAGGTCTACTAAATGTAAAGCACTTGCTAAATATTTAGTATGCAAGTATAATTCATTTTTCTGCAACTTAAATTCAACCTGACAAACCTACAGTAACTACAGTACATGCAAAAGACCAGAACAGAAAAACTTAGAATTATAACTTGTACATGTTGACGCGTCTACTGCTTCTTTGTATTTAGCGTGTGTCTGATAACAGTGGATGCTTAAAAAATATGAAAGGATTGGAAGGAACTTGATTTTTGCTGAGCTATATTCCTCCCTTTTCCTTCTTTTTGTACCCTTTCATCCAGATTTTGAAGGTTAAGTGGAATAGCATCTCATTTCAGCAAACACATTTTTTGGCTTTTTAAGATTCATGAATATGAGCCACTGTGGTGCAAAATCAAATGGAATAAATCAAGCTGTGTGGTTGTTTTCCTTCTTCCACTCCTCATCGCTTTTAACCTCTATTTACATATCAAAAACAGAGTCCAGAATCAGTGTCCCCATTACTCTAAATACCCCCCATTCCATTGTAATGAGAAAACAGTGAAAATGTTTTGAGCCTTTTCTGTGGCTTATTCAGGCCACCAAGGCTAAAGTTAATAATAATAATAATAATGATAGTGGAAAAAGCAACTATTTGAGAATCATTTTTCAAAGCTCTTTGCACTATAAACATAATCCCATTAAACTGAAGTGGCAGCATAAATCACAGAGATGGCTTGTTTTATAATCTGGACAAATAAAAACAGAACTATTTCCGCATGATAAACGCCGCTGGGGACATCCAAGAATTTTTTTCCCCCCTTTTGTCATTTAGGTGACCAACTCTTCAAACAAGCACATCAAGCTCTGCAGCATTGCTTTTTAAAAAAAAAAAAAAACCAGAGTAAACCTGTTAGAACCACAGTGTCACCAAACTTAAAGACACACACCTTAAACCGAACACAAGGAAGAGAGACCATGAGAAGGCGCTGTTTAAGGGGGAAAAATCAGAAATGATTTCCAATACAGAAAGAGGATATTTCTCACAATACACCCACCCACACATGCACACACACAGACACACTAACAATCAGGGTAATGGATGTTGATGGAGATTAGAGTGGGAACTCCCAGTGGGACCCAAACGCATTAGGAATCATCTCATAGAGATTACTGACAGGTGTGTGTGGAAGTGTCCGTGTGTGGGTGTGCACGTGCGTGTACGAGTACATAAGTGTGCATTCGAGCAGCTAAATAAGAGACGGAGAACGAGTTATAGACGAAGATAGAAGTAAAGGAGGAGGGCAGGGTTGAAGATGAAAGTATGAGAGCACAAAAACAGAGGAGAACAGGATTGGAGAGGGGAAAAAAAAAAAGGGGGGGGAGAAAATAACTAAGCGAGGCCGACAGAGGCATAAAGGACATGTAGTTGCTGCTAGATAACATTTACGTGTCTAGTTCTCATCTTGCGGTCTGTAATAAGTGCAATCACCACAATCAGCCTGCAGCATGAGTGACGCCATATATAATTGTCGCGTCATGTTCCTGATACGAAAATGCAAAGCACGCGCACCCGCAACGATGTTCCGAACAAGTAGTTTAGATCCATAATTAGGACACATTCTGGCTTTTGTGTGTGTATCCAGATGAGCGAGGAATGTGTAGATATCAACAGAAGCTTTGTTTTGTTAGCTGGAGTGAGGTGGGGCCCAACACCTAAGCATTTGTTTATTGACTTTGCTTGTCCAAATCCAAGCTCAAATCTAAACCTGACAGGAAGAAAGGGAATAAAATGAAATGCAGAGAGAACGGAATCAAAGTGGAAAAGTGCATTAAAGCATTTGAACAATTCCTGAACGGGCGATGGGATTCAAAAAAAAACATGGCACCACACGTTTAGCACTGACCACATAGTCTGAGAGTCATCCCCTGGCAGAAGTGTGTCACTTCCACCTGTTTTGATGGAATAGTATATTGGGCAGAGGATGGGGAATGGGCTAGGATACATTTACACACACATGCCAAGAACACAACACTCTGCCTAGCAACATAGTGCCAGTGCAGATACTGAAATACGAGTCCTGTGGTCAGCGTCATTTTTTTTGATGGGTCTTTTTAAAAAGCTGCATTAATTAGAGGAATCTCTTACCAGTGTGAGTCCTGAGGTGTGCTTTCAAATGGGACGACTTGGTGTAGACCTTCTTGCAGCCTGACGACAGACATGGAGATAAACACAAACAGACGGCTTAATCCAAGTAATTCACACGTGGCAAATATGCATTTACCCAATAAACTGAGCTGTGGAATTCAAAAAATCCAAACTAATGAAGAACAGAAGCCGTTTTGGAATCAAATATAGTAAAGTGTGTTTCGTAGAGCCTCAAATCCTGCTCCATCTCATCTGCTGCTTTCCAAAATGAACAAAACAGGCTCTGTTAAAAGCAGCCCTCATTTGGTATTAAAAGGCATTTGATTACAAGCCTCGAATCACCAACAATGCGACCTGAAAACCTCTGTTTTCTCCTTCTGCGCACGCTACAGTTTGTTTCTACAATGTCAGAAAGGTCATTAAGGATTTTGAACGATTTAGAAAGATATTCGTCAGATATCTTATGACTTTAAGTTAGGAAACGATAGAATTTCGTGTATTGCTATGATTAAACTGTGAGCAGCTGCAACAGTGTGACTAATATACATACACTTGGATGAAGTGTGGCTCTGTGAATATGATGGATCTGCTTCATCTGGCTTTTTAAGAAGTAAGACGTGTGCTAACGTGCTGCGGTAGGCTCTGCTTAACCCTATTTTACATGCCGCCACAGGCTAGCTGACATTACATGTCCTACAAGTAGCTACATATCATACAGTCTGTATGTGTGTGTGTGTATGTGTCTGTGCGCCAAATAAAGAAAATAAATACTTTAATCTCAGCATGCAATCTCAAGTGTAACAGTATGAAGATATGTGTGTGGGAAAAAAGATCAAATGATTCAAGGAGAACATCTTTTTAATTAACACAGCCCCTGCATACAAAAACGTGCACTCTCTCTCACACACACAAAAACAGGTTCATTCCACAATCATACCAGTGATTACTCTAAAGCCACCACACTGTTTGAGAGCTCATAGCTGAAAGTGCCACAGTCATTTGAGGTGTGCTAATATATGCAAAGCAGTGTTTGAACCAGATAGTTGACTGAAAGGTAGTAACAGTCTGGCTGGCAGGACAGAGTGTACTCTGCCTCCATGACCCAAAGGCATAGGCAAATCATTCAAAACATGAACAGAAACATTCACTACAATGCAGTGATAAACTAAACACACAACGGTGATTACATTCACAGTGCACATTCAGTGGTGTGTGTCGTTCTTCTAACCTGGGTAATCACAGTGGTGGATCCGTCGCTTCTCTAAGTCGGGGTTGTTCCTTCGGTTGTAGCGGACAGCCACTGCGTTCTGTGCTGGATTTGGGGTTGGTGCTGTCGTGTGGGCTTGAGGAAGGACTGTGGCTGGGCCTGGGACTGGTGTGGGGCCTGTAGGGTGGGGCAGAGCTAAGCCACCTGGTCCCGGGCCAGGTCCAAGTCCGGGTGTGCTACCTGCAAGCTTGGAGGCAATGGTGGCAGCATACGACGGAGGTGGTGACATGTTGTGGAGCAGCTCCTTCTGCCTGTCAGGGCTGCCGGGCTCTGAGTTTGGCGGAGAGGGTGGCAGGTAGGGCACCTGCTGCTGGAGGAATTGGGGATGTGCCTGAGAATGAGGATGTGTGTATACCCCACCACCTAGACAGCGGTAGGCAGGCTTGACAGTTTGCTCTTGTTGAGAAGCAGAAGTAGCTACTGGCAAATCATGAAAAGGTGTGTGCATCGTGGTAGTGTGTTGGATCGGTTGCTGCTGCTGATGGTGATGATGATGCTGAGCCTCCATCCCATTGCTATGGCGATGATCCAAGCCAGAGTTTAGGAGCTGAAACAGCGAGCCGCTGTTGTCATGGTGGTGGTGGAGAGCGTGCTGCTCAAACTGTGGTGACATTTCCTGTTTGACATACACTTCTGGCAGTGAATCACCACCGCGGCTGCCTCCCAGCTGATTGAAAACACTGGTGAATTCTGGTAACCCAGTTAATGTCATGTTTGTGGCGGAGTTTTCCATGGCCATACTGCCAGGGCCGTGGCCGGATGTGCTGCAGCTACTTGTGGGCGTAGTGCCGGGGCAGTGGGGCTGCAGGTTAGAGGAAAAACACGAGGAGGGAGATTCTGTTTTAATGTGAGTGAGACTCGGGTGGTTCTGGTGTTGAGGGGACCGCACCTGCTGGCACAAGCCCATCCTCAGGTAGCCGACGTCAGGGAGATAAAGATTCATGTTGAGGGTATAGGGAGCCCCAGCGTCAGTGAAGAACTGATCCACTGCTGACGAGCTGTCTCTGAGTGACTTCTGCTGGTTGTCTGCAGGGTTTGGAAGTGGAAGAGGCTGAGGGGAGAGATATCTGTCCATCTCACACTTTGCCTGAGGATTAAAAGGGAAAACACACATTAAAAAGAAAAATTTAAGAAAAAAAACAAACAAAAAACAAGCAGTTAACATAAAAATAAACTTTCTGTTGAATGAAAAGTACCAAAGCCTGACTTCACTAAGTCCTTCTCAGTGCTTCTATTCTGAACCACTATTATGAGAAGACAAAAGGTTTGATAGGACAGTCACTGCTAAAGCATTTATCAAGTAGTCATCAAAAGGCAGTTGCCACATTCCCTCGCGGCCTGCAAGGCTGAACTCAGAAACCTGACGGTGGTGAGGCCCACATTTGAGGATTAAACGATGTTATGTCAATAAAGAACCTGATCTAACGCCTCTTATTTGAACATGTGCAGCTATTACAAGCATAACAGAGCAGCCAATCGCCGGTCAAACTGCACACCACAGGTGAACAACTTGGCATAAAAAAATGCTTCATTCGTACTGCTCTTTTTGGTCCAGCTCCTGTGGCTCTGGGGGGATCTAATCGGTATAAAAGTTAAAGAAGCAGAGCACCAGAGGATGAAACAGTAACATGAAAGGGAATAGGGAAACACCCATGTCTCCCTGCAGCAGCAGCAGCAGAAACAGCAGCAGCAGTAGTAGTCTGGGGATGGGCTGCTATTTGAGGGTCCTGATCCTACCAGCTGTTATAGATCTCCCTGCTATGTTGCACAAGTTTCTTTCTAACTGGGGACAGAGTTGCCGGGACGTTTCTGTCCGAAGCTGGAGTCAGTTGCTGTCAGCGTGGTATGATGGTGAGAAGGGACGCCAAGGAGAGACCAACAACTGGTGACCAACTGGCTGGCTGGCATAGAAAACATGCGGTGAATGCGTTTTGCAGGCGGAGGTGCTCGACTACGCGTCCAGCTGGTCGCTTATTACCGAAAATAGAGCTGAATAAAGTGACGGTTACGATCGCGCAGAGGGGGACGACTGAAATTTAGACTCAAATAAATAAACAAATAAACAAGCAAACAGAAAAACAAGCTGGATTTAAAGCCAGACTGCCACGCCCATTCAGTGAAATGCATCACTAATGTATAAAGTCGGTTTGATTTCCAACCGGTTTACCTGTGCGTAATCATTTTGTCCAGCCTTGTCTGCTTCGGTGATCTTGCAATCCAAGCCGAACAACGCCGAGTCCTCCAAGGGGAACCCAGCGGGCAGAGTCGCCTTCTGCAGCGGGTAGAAGGGATCCTCCTGCACGCCGCCGCTCATCGTGAGTGTTGCGGCCATGAAGCTCCGACGCAGCGCCGCAAAAACGATCGCTTGCCGTGTGTTATTATGCAAAGCGGAGGATGCTACAGCGTACAGAGAAACGAGTGGAGCCGACGAGGTGTAGTGCGTGCGTTAGAGTAATTAATGTGTGCCTGTCGGCTACATCTCCTTCCACTTGTTTCATCCCTCTGCTCCGGCCCACAGACAGTTTTCTATCTGGCGTTCGCAGGGCGGAGCGGCCCCAGTGTAAATACAGACCGCGCACCGCCCACCAAACCTTTAAAAACGCTTTGATCATTCATTCACCGGCCACCGCCCTACGTTTGCCATCCATACACACCGACAACAGCGCCGTAAAAAAGTCCACGAGACCGGTCAAACCGCATTAAAGTGGTGAAAGTTAAACTCATCGCAGCCACGTTAACCGACAGAGTTTTTGTAAAGTGTTTTGAGATGATAAAAACAGATAAAACGTGGAAAGGCACCGCGAAATTGGTCAAATAGTGGGTATGATGCACATGACTGCATATGACACACGCGTGTTACTTAATATAGTTACAGCAGGTACAGGTGTGGTTACAGGTGTGGACTCTTGTGTAATGCTGTGTCTATAATCTATAAACTGTTTCGATGTTGCATTAATGGTTAGTCTAGTAAGGAATCAAGGAAACTATTGGACAGAGCAGAAGAATAAAGTGGAATTCGATGGAAATACTTGAAAGTATTTTAAAACTGTACTTGAGTAAAATGAGACCATCTGTTACAGGAAATATTTGTGTTGTCATCAAACTATTATTAAAATATTGTGGGGGGGGTTTTTGACTCCAAATTAGTAAATTACCAAACAATTACAATAACAATAATAGGTTACAATATAAAGCGCCTTGATGCGACTGTTGTTGCGATTTGGCGCTATATAAATAAAATTGAATTGAACACAACGTTTATATTTTTGCCTTTTGCTTCCACCTCAGTAGATTTGAAGTTAAACAATCAAGAATCAGGTGAAGCCCAGGCTCATCTGTAATCCAGAGGGCTGAACGCAAAAAATATATGAGCCATCTTTATCTACCCAAGTGTAATTGGACAAATAGAGGAATAATTATAGAGTATAATGTTCAGTTGTAGTACTTTGTTAAGAAACCTTTGCCAAAACAATGACAGTCTGAAATCCATGGATTTAACCAAATGCAGTAAAGCAAATGCTTCACTGCAGCTGCCATCAATTATGGTTTGCTCTTGAGTCTTTCTGCCTTTCGCCTTCAAAACTTGATGCTCAATCAGGGTGAGATTAGAAGATTTACACGGCCACTACTGAATATCCTATTTCTTTACACTTTATTCAGAATCACCTGGGCCTTGTGCAACATGCTTTGGCTCCCTCAACATCTGTGCTGTGTAGCAGCTTCCAATCAACAGCTGCATTTAGCTGAATATGAGCAAAAATCATACACTTCACGATTAATCCAGCTGTTTCTGTTGCATTATCAATGATCACTACTACCTTAGTGAATTGAGAAGCTATGCCTACCCATGCCATCACTCGTCTCCACTGTGTTTTGAGGAGAATGTATTCGCCGGGTTAACATCCAGTCCAAACCTTCTCCTTTCATTTTTTCCTCACCCTACCTCACACCCATCAAGATTAATCTCAAGTTCATCTGGCTGACATTTTCTCTTCCAAAACTGATTTTCTGATATTTTCTTAGTTGAGTGTATTGTAGCCTTTCTACTCTTGAGGTTTATGAAACCTTTTCCACAGATCTACTACTACTTCTTATGCGAGTTTTAACATCACATGTAGGATAACAAAACTCCTGAAAAGGGACAAACCAGTTTCGCATTAGCCGCCCGCCCAAATTTAATATGACACCGATAAGAACATGGTCAGAAATAATAAAGGTATGCCTACTATGTCTCTATTTAAGGAACCTCAGCTTGTGCAAATCAAAGGCTAAGGTTCCTGCAGTGTTGTTTGTAGCGAGCAGTATCTGCAAACTTGGAAAAGATGAGAAAATAATGATAGACAGACCTAATAAAACAGGCCACTGCCAAAAAAGAGGAATTTTTGGGCCTTCAGTTAGCTTGGAATGTGTACCCTGTGGAAGGTAATATCTCTGGACCAGCACACAGATAATTTATCCCATGAACAATATTTAACAAAGGATGAGAAAAACAAAACACTTAGACAGTTCAAACTGTTTGTGCCTTTGTATTTGAAAAGCAATCAAGCAATGAAATGAACTGTAACTTACAAAGGTCTAGACAAAACCTAAAATTTAAAAACAAAGGTCCTGAGCTCCAGTCATGACACAAACGGTCACTTGGATTTCCACTTCTGCTTTTGGTACCAATCGGGAACTTCTTTATTTGTCTGTAAATGAAAATAAGAGAAAGAAATAATATGAAAAGTGAAAGAGATTTGTTAATATACTCTCATCTATTTGACTTTCTCATGACTCATGGCTACATACTAGAACATATGCTCAGTTAGCCAACTTCACTGAAAAACTTCTATTTCACTAAATGATTTTTTAAAAAACTGTTCATCCTTTTATTTCTATTGCTTTGTCCTAACATGTGTCTAAGCACGTTCACATGGTGTGACTCATAAAAAGGGTGGTGCTACAACAGTCACTTACAAACACAGTGGGTTTGGGTTTGTTTGGTGATTCTTCTTCTGCTGTCCTGTTGATACGTTTGGACTGCTGTTTTTTCCCCAATCCAGAAGTCCTGATACCAGTTTTATCTGTTTCCAACAGGTTTAGAGCGTCTGCCTGTCTGGACCGCATGCTGATCAGGACCTGCTTCATCATGGCTAACTCCTGGAAAACCGCACAGTTCATAAAAGAAAAAAGAGGAAACAAGAGTAAAACAATAAATGAAGGAGTGTATGAGAAATTACTGGGAGTGTAGAGTCCAAAAGGCCACAGATTTCAACTATATAATCGTTTGATTTAACAAAAAAAAAAAAAGTAATTCTTCTCTTTTATCTTTATTAATGTTTTGTGAAACATTTGCTTTCAAGAATTCAGGTCGAAGAAACCAAACACAGTCCAGCGATGGGACGACTTGCACTAAGGGTCTGCAGGGATGGCAGCAGCGGCAACAGCAGCAGGGCAGAGAGGGGGACTCTCGGCCATTTCACGGTTCTATTTATCACCTCTGAGGACATGAGCCCTGGCATCTCGCACACACGCACGAGCACACACGCACACACTAGAGCACACACACACGCTAGTGGCATCCCAAATAGCCAAGCTGAGGAACAGCTGTCTATGACAGGGCACATACTTCATACAGCAAACGGCCTGCTTGGGAACATACTCCTGCGTGTACGCGCACGCGTGCCTACGATCATTAAGACGCTGCACTAAATTCTCCGGTGTAAAGATCAAAATTAAATTAATCAGCAGCTATTACTTATAATTGATTAATACCGTTAAATTTCAGACAAAAATACCAAACGTTTTGTTTTTAAGAAAAAAAAATTGTGTGAATTATCTGATTAAATTATAATTAGGTTTGTGTTCATTTATTTATTTATTTAAAGAAGACTTGAGCTCTAGGATATTATAAAGGAAAATTCCTAAATATTTACCAAAGACTGTTGGGGCCATAATTAAAGAGAGATATTAAATCTTTATATGTGTTGTTCCACTGAAGCATGGATTAACAGGTACGGTACCCACCTGGAGCAAGATACACTCAGACAATACAGTGGATGTCGCAGGTAACAGCTGCAAAACCTCATCACCGAAAACTAGATCTGCAATCATTAGTCATTAAATTCATGCAAACTGGGGAGTACTATAACAAAAAATAAATGTAATCTCTTTAGGTTTTAAACTCATACATTGCCAAAAAAAACAATAAAAAACTCTGAGGTTTAAGTCATGAGCTTGTAGGAGAAAGAAAAAAAGAAATTGTGTCTCATCCCTGCAGCGGATGATGTGATCAAATTACAGCTTGCTTTACAATCTGGTTTAGCTACAAGTAAACTCTTGTGATTTGAGCTCAGAATTGCCACATTTCTGTCTGCACTTCAGAAGAAAACAACATGCTGAGCTGGAAGAGGTGACTGCTGTTTGGGGGTTTTACTGTTTACGTCAGTTGTGTGATGAAGTTGATCCAACACTTTGAAACTAAGAAACCAACCAACCAACCAACCAACCAACCAACCAGTCTGTCTGTCTGTCTGTCTTTCTTTCTTTCTTGTTTCTCACTTTTCATTTTGTGACCTTACTTTCAGAGAATACTCTGGCTTTTTTATGTTTACAGTGATGTGCTATTGAAATATCACTGCAGCTTATAATTAAGCCCCCTGGAGTCTATTTGTGTGGGGTTTGAAAAAAAAAAAAGCTCCAACAAAAACTCCATACAACCACTGATAATATAAATAGCAATGTAGCTTTTCGAATAAATGTACCACCCACTCAGTTTACGAATATTTTATATCTTGATATCATCAGAAAGCATTCAGCAAATTGATTGCTAACAATCACATAAACACTAAACAAAACACAACCAGTAACCAACACTGTCCCTTTGTGTACCTCTTGATGGTTGAGAAGTCGCTCCAGATCAGCGGCCATGTTATTTTTCACCTGTTCCAGAGCGGTCCGCTCTTTCCTCAGAGAACTGAGGTCATAATCAAACACAGACAGAGAGATCAGATCTCTAGTTAATACAAAAAGTACACTTAATATTTATTCAGTAAGTATATGTAGTAAAATATTAACATGTCTTGAACAAAAATATTTAAAGACTGCAGAAACGGTAATATTAATGTCCTTCATGAAGCAGATTTAGTGGGTTTTAGTTTTTTTTATTGCTCTTTAGCGTCAGGTCAGGAGATGGGACACACAGGATCAGATGTGAAGGTGTGGTATGCATCGTAATTTGAATGTTCATTCATTTGTGTATGCAAAAATAAACAAAAACGTTCATAATAATAAAAGCAACAGGACTTCAGTGCATCACGTAAAATTCTCCTGAGCTGTGCATCTGCAGCCAAACAGGTTAACCTTGCAGACCCACAGAGAAAACTTAAATGTTTCCGACAGGGAACGTCTGACAGCATTTTTCTTAACCTTTTTCTTTTTTTTTAACCCTTCTTGTTCCTGCACCTGGTGAGCGCTCCGTGGTAGCACACAGCAAGAGAAAACCTGCAGTCTGTCAATTTGCATTTTTGACAGGCTAAAATAGAGAGGGCACAACAGCAATTTAGGTCATTGCCAAGAACCTGTAAATGCACTCATGTGGGGACTTACATGCACGCATGCAGGTTTGCACAGACATAATGGGCTAGGTGTGAAAGGGACAAAAGATGAGACTATTGTATCAAGTGATTTACAAGATACAAAGTTTAACCAAACAAATTAGCAAAGGACGCTTTCCAAGAAGGAGAGAAGGCTGAACAACCTTCAGATGAAAAGGTCGTGAATGAATGTTTTTTTTTTTTTTTTTAAATGTAGTATGCAGTATTTGTACCTGACATTGCCCTCAAGTGAGGTGACACGCTCCTTCAGTATGCTGATCTGTGCATCCCTTTGTCTCACCGTCTCAATCAAGTAACTATAAGGTTGCTGCGTCTGCTGTAACAGCTGGTTGGCGGCCAACAACTGTGGAAAAAACAAAGTATGTGTTAACCTGAGCAGTTAGAGAGCAATTACTTCACGTATGTAATGTTTCGTTTGACTTGTGTAAATTTTTCATGGGTCTGTCAAACTGTTATCTCCGGCATTTTTCAAAGATTCAACTAAAGAAATTAGAAAAAAATGTGTTTTTCACAACACACGGCTAGTAACAAAGTGCTCAAAGATGCAATTTAAAACAGGTTCTTTGCAAAGTTGTCTGCTATGTGTAGACACAACACTACCTCATTCCTTAAGTTAGGTGCCTTTATTATGCTTGAATGATTCATAGGTCAGTGTTAAGTGGCTTAAACAAAAACATTCCCCTGGAAATGGTCAGGTACGATAACTTGATGGAAAAAGAGTGAAAAAGCAGCCAATTTCCACAAAAATGAGAAAAAAAACCTTTAAAAGACCTTTAGAAAACTAGTAGTGAAAATCAATTTATAAAAAAAACCAAAATATATTACAAGAACGTCTGACAGCTTAGAAGCAAAATATAAAGAAATCAGCGGTGGCTCAGTACAGTGCACAGTAATTGATAAACTAATGTCACACCAGTTAAGTAATTCTCTTTAGAAACTGGTTTTAGTTCACATTATAAAATTATATCAACTAAAATATTAGCAAATATTTCTGAATGATGCAAGATCTACAGTCATGGCATCTCTGATCTCATCAGGAGAAACTTGCATAAAAGTGAGTTTTTATGAAGGCATATCTAAACTTCAAGCTTTTTATGAAAAAAACAAAACAAAACATATCCATCAGTTGGTATTGTTCTTAAAATCTGCTGAACACTAGATAAAGTATGGGTGTTAAACATTAAACGGCTTTTACAACTGGCCGATAGTGAGTAGAACTGGGTGGAGGCTAAGGACAATCGTTAGTTAGTCAGGGCATTCGTGTGGGTGGTTTAGCAGTTAACACCCTGAGCCTTTCTAGTGAAAAGGAAGTATAATTTTTTCTTCTTCTTTTCTTGTATAGTCAGTGAATCATGAGTTATTCCAGATGAATGCCAGTTGATCACAGCTGACAGTTGAATGGTTGGCTTATTTAAATCCTGCCCATTCTGGCTTGCACAACCTCTCCTCTCATTGAGTTTATAATAATGAGTGAGGAGAAAGAAGAAGAAAAGAAAGGAAACACAAGCACATTTGGCTGACAGAGCTATCAGGCTTATAATTCCAAGTCTTCCTGGATAAAATTTCCCATTAGTGCACGAGTGGCAGACACGTGACTTTACATACACATTTGTATACAGAGAGAATTCACACACCCAAACTTTAAGCTTCAGTGTTGCACACTCATACACAAACGCAACATACTGCCAAACGCAACAAAAGCTCAATGGCTGTCATGGTTTTTGGCAATACTTCCCACTGTATCAACAACGTTTGACAGGTATTATGACTAACTTCACATTCTTCTCATACAAAGTCTGCAATGCATGCTGTTTGTTTTTAAACAACCTGCCATTTTCGTCATTTGACTTCAAACGTGGAATCTGACAGTTTCATTGTTAAATGTTGACAGAAGATTCAGAAAAAAAGCAGGGGACCATCACAATGTGTCCCTAAGTGGGTTGGATGATACTCACTACTGTGCAAAAGTTTGGCCCTGAGGATGATATGAAAGAAATAATACCACAAATAAAGTCTTACACAACTACGCAGTAGTTAAGAAGAAAATAAAAATCCTCCTAAGCTCACTTGCGCATAATTTTTAAAGACACCTGGCACGTCTTCCAGGAGAACTCGCCATGCCACTTCTGAGGACTTAACCTGTGGCAGGTGCTTCTTTCTCTTTACGCAAATTCAGCGCCGTTGAGATCAGGATTCACCGTTATGGATATATTTGTGGTCACTGTCATGCTTACCCTTGTGAAGTACCTAAAACTTTGGCTTAGTACAGCACACACGCACACTCTGCCAAAATCATTTTTTCCATTCTTCAAGATGTGACCTAATGTCACGGCTCCAATGGCAGCCTTTCAAAGAGAAGTGATTATACCACAGTCGTGACAATGTGAGGAGGTAAATAGAGATGAGAGAGGAGCCATCAAGGTTGGGCTTTGTAATGACTTTCTTTTGTTACAAGAGGGAATACGTAAATCATTGTGACTTTGACAGAAAAAGTGGAATAAATTTAAGCAGAGTCGCTGTAGGAGTTTTGTCACGGCGGGAAAACAAGTGTTTGCAGGTACTGACTTGAAATGCTTTCAAGTTTGTTTTCCTTAGAAATTAACAAGTACCACTCTCATATTAATGATGTTCTCCAGGGAACTTGATATTGTTTCAGGTGTTTACCTGTTCAGATATCTGCCCCGTCTGCGACTTGTGACTTTCCAACTCTCTCCTCAGTGATGTATTCTGCCTCTCGAGCTGCAGCACCCTGCGGGCCAAGTGAACGCTGCACAACAGCCACATAAAAGTTATGGGAATTTCAATCAACAAGACAAAAATCAACAAGATTACACTAGTGTGTATTTACACAATGCATCTTCTAGAGTCTGCTGCTAGGCAATGAGATTAATTTAGCCTTTTGGCTGCACATGCTGGAGATAAAAATCAAATAAAAGACTAAGTGGAAACATGTCCAGATGTTCTAGTTTGGTATTTCTAAGGAATTACTGTTAAACAACTGTTTAGTTCACAAGGCAAAAGACACCGTGTGGGTGACCGCCAAAGAAGAAAGCCACAAAGATGCACGATATGTGTCACATTTAAAGCATAAACAGCAAATTGTTTACCAGTATTGCAACATAAAGGGCAAAATTCAAAATCAAATACAAAGGAAAAGAATATATGACAATATAAATGATGCATTTCTTTAAACACTCAAAATATGTTTTGCAAATCTTATGCAGGATGCAAAACCTTAAAAGACAAACATTTGTGTTGCATCCTTTGCTTGAAATGCAGTGAAGTGCTTCATGTACTATACCTCTGTTTTAGTCTTCTTTTGGCCGTTGTAGGAACATTTGCCCCATAGCCATATGAGAACAAAACCCTCTCTGCCTCTTCTTCATTCTCAACTGATAAGAGATAATGGTACAACTGGAATTAGAGTATGTCTGCGGGGCTATTAAGATAAACAGGTACAAACATGTGGTTTGTTTTCTTTTCCTGCAAAGCTCAGGCATTTAAAAAGATCAAAAGATAAAACTGTATTAAGATTTTGTTGCCATCTTTCTATGTCAATCTCCCATCTTACCCAAATAAGATTATTATGTAATTTGTATTACACACATTTTTCCAATGTTAGGTTCCAGTTGAGTGCACTTGTTTGCTTTTGTCTGTCTGATTTCACAGATATGTGTTTAAAGTGGCTGTTTCCACAGAGATAATGCAATACTCTTACTTTCGGCGGCTTGCATGGTGACCTGGTCCAGCTCTTGCTCGAGCTTTTCATACGTTTCCAGGCGAGACGCCTGCTCAGCGTTCTGAGTCTGCAGCTCTGCTACCCGTCTCTCTGAGGAAGTTTGTAGCCTGTAAAACTCCTGAGTGAGGAGCTTAGCAGCAGGAGGAGAGACAGAGAGACAGACAATAATGTTCAAAACTATTGTTCTTAGTTGCACTTTAACACCTTTGTTTCCAAATTATGTCCGCAGAGTTATAGTTTATCAAGATCAGCTTTTTCCAAAATGATAAAAGTTATCTCACTTCAGTTATGTTTTGCTGTAAAATGAGGTTGTCAAACATGCCAACGCTATCAGTAAATCCTGTCATAAACCTGCCGCGTATGACCTGTGCAACTGCCACAAGAGTTGACTTGAGTCCCCATGAGTTGTGCTTACTGACAGAGAGTCATTTGCACTGATGGCAACATTGCCATGTCAAGCTATCCCAGTGTGGGATGGTTTGTTGATGGAGGCGATTTAATATAAATTCTAATCTCTGCATTAAAACTCATGATATGAGCCCTCTTGCTTCTAGAATTCCCAGAGTATTTAAAATATTTTAATATAATATTGATATTTGGTCTCTCTGTATAGCTACAAAAATCACCATGCAAAATATCCCAATACTTTTTATTGATTGATTTATTTTTCCCCACCACCCCAAACTAACATAGTAGCAAAAAACCTTTCGCTATACAAAGATAAAATGGTTAATAAATGTTAAGGTAACCCTGGACACACACAAGGCTTTGAAATCTTTTGATACTGCCAAGTTTATAGAGACTGAAAGAAAATGTAAAATGCTGTGCCTCAGCCTGCTAGTAAAGACACCTATCGTATAAATTTGAGGCGATTTTCCAAAAGGTTGACCTCTGATCTTGACCCTGAGTTCAAGTTCATTGAGATGAGAAGTCACCTCGTTTCTAAGTTAACTTGAGTGTCTAAACCGCCCGCCCAGCCAGCAAGGTTACGACAATACCCCATCAAACTTTTACAGCTGAGGGGCAAGAATTTCCTGGATTGGATGAGTGCTTTTTTGCTTTTGCTTATTTTGCTTCTTGCCTATGCTGTTTTGCCAAACTCAGTTTGATGCTCATACTACCACACAGTTTGCTGCACAATCGAGCCTATATTTTACTTGTAGGTTTCATATATGGTTGCAGGCAGAAATTCATCGTAACAACAGGCTTGTAGGGAACAAGTACATTTACATATTTGACACACTTACATGTTTCAGACTATGAAACAAATTTTAGTATTTGAAAAAGACAGCCAGGTTTTAAATGACAATGTCATTTGTTACAGAAAAACAGCTATCTAAACCTAACCTAATAACTGGCTGTGCCTTCCTTGGAAGCAAGAATTGCAGTAACTTGGAAATAGTCTTACACATTGCTGTGCAGGAATTTTGGCCCGCACTTTCAGAAATTTTAATTCAGCCAAACAGGTGGGTTTTCATGCATGAATGGCCTGCTTAAGGTCATTCCAAGGCATCTTAATTGGATTTAAATGTGGGCTTTTGACTAGGTCACTCCAAAAACCTTCATTTTTCTTTGTTTTGTAGCCATTCAGAGGTGGTAGAGAGCTTCACGGTTCCACCAGTTGGCCATCACACTACACCACCACCGCACCACGTTTGACGGTTTGTATGATGTTCCTTTTATGAAATGCTGTGTTGCTTGTGTTATGAGACACAAATCTTCCAGAAAGTTTTCCCTCATAAGTCCATAGAATTTTCCTAAAAGTCTTCATCAACAGATCATCAAGATGTTTTTAGGCAAATATGAAATGAGCCTTTGTGTTCTTTTTGGTCGACAGTAGTTTTCTCCTCGGAAGTCTCCCATGGCCATTTTTCCCAGTCTCTTTCTTACTGTTGAATCACGAACGCTGACCCTAACTGAAACACATGAGGTCTGCAGTTCTTTTGTGTCCTCCTGGATGAGTCATTGATGCACTCTTAGAGTATTTGGTAGGACGGCCACTCCTGGGAAGGTTCTCTGTTTGTAATTAATAGATCTCACGATGGTTCACTGAAGTTCCAAAGCCTTACCTTGGAAATAGCTTTTTAATCTTTTCCAGACTGAGTGACAATGACATTGTTTCTCATCTCTTCTTGAGCTTTTTTAGATGGTGGCATGTGATTTCTTGATTCAAGAGGTCTGGCAGGAATCAGGCCTGGGTGTGGTTAGTGAAATTAAACTTAGCTTTCCAAAATAAATGTGGTTAATTTTCTCACAGTTAATTAACAACTTAAAAAGGCAGGACAATAATTTTTTCAGACAGGGCCAGGTGGGTTTAACTCTTTTTCCCCCGACTAAATGAAATCACAATTTAAAAACTACATTTTGTATTTACTTGGGTTATCTTTGTTTAAAAGAAAATTTATTTGAGGATCTGAAACATGTAAGTGTAACAAAGATGCAATGTCCAATGCAAAAAGAGGAAGCTAGGAACTATTTGACGCTTGTCTTTTTAATCACAGTACACTATACTGGGAAGTTGTGGAGAAGTACCTAAACATTATTTATGTACTGAAGCCACAGGTCAATATTGTTATCATTCAGATTAAACATAGAGTTCCTTCACTTACATACCCCTCTGAGTGTGTCTCTCCACCATGCCTCAGTTCATGTGCAGATGCATAATGAAACACATGCTCAAATACAGCTTATAAGATAATGACAAGATAAATAAGATAATGGCTAGATAGTAATTAACTAAAAAGAGAAGATGGCGTAATTACAGCACTGATAAATACGTTAAAGGGATAATGAAAATTTTTAACTGATTTTTCCCATTTGATTTAATCAACGGTGAACTACAAAGCATTACACGGACTTTTAATCAGAATGAATGTTCCACCATCGTAATCAAATGATGGATAATGGAGTAATATCTTGAGACGTAGGGTATATTTTTGTTCCCATTACATACATGATTACATAAACTTTGTTTTTGGATTAACTTGTTAGAAATTGTTTCCTTTTACCATTTTTCCTTTTCAACATTTACTCGAAAAATAGATCAGGAGAAAAGAAAGATCAGACGGAGACAAAAAGCAAGCCTTGCAATCACAGCGTTAATTTAAAAATAAATAAATAAATAAATAAATAAATAAATAAAGCATTTTTCTCCTTTTAAGAACACGTGATGTGATGAGAGGTGCATCCAGACATCAAGGACTAATTGCACTTAGTGTACTTCTTTCATAAGTACGCTTGATTCATTGGACACAAATAAAAATGAAGCCACTGGAGCGATTTATGAAGACGGATAGCCGTGTTAATTTTTAAGTACTATGGACGGACTTGATTTTAGGCTTCAGTTGTGCATATTCGGTTGTAATAACAACATCGTATGTTTGTGGGCAACGTTTCTCCCGTCTGTGCCAAACAGATCATTTTTGACTGACTGATAATTAGGAGTAGACTAGAAGCACCAACTTTGTTATCAAAGAAGTGTTCAAGGTGACAATCAGACTGAGGTCATCTTGAATTAAATAAGAAGACTGAGAGAATTTTTAAGTTGTGTGCTACTCTCTGTAATGAATGCTCCACAGACCTCAGCAGGATGCACTGAACCTGCTTTTAAAAATTCTAGGAGAAATCCAATTACTAATACGAATAAACAACCTGTAACATTAACTCAAGCAGAAAGTAAAACAAACACACTAGTAATCGGGTATCCCATCATTTTATGTCTGAGTACCTCTAGTTTCTTCTGCTGTTTCTCACACTCCAGCTGACACTGAGCTAGGGCTTTAGCCGTCTCATCCTTGACCATATTAGCACGCTCAGCTTCAAAAGAGTGCAGCTTGGCCTGGTTGGATAGTTCTGCCACCCGGCTGTCTGTACCCAGCTGCAGCTGACGGAACCTAGAGTAAGAAAAGATGGAGATAAAGTCACACACCTCACTAGATATTAAAGATAATTTTTGTATTTTTTTTTTAAATGCTACAACATGTTTTGGTACAAAGAGACTATGTGGACTAGATAATAAAGGAGCACAGTGTGCTTCTCACACAAAAGGTAAACTCAGCTGTAGGCTGGTGGTTGAGCTCAGGCATGCCCGGTGGTTTTAAACAAACGCTGCAACTTCTTCCGTAACAGGGACTCAATTACATTTTGCGGTAAATGTCTTAAAAGCATGCTCCTTTGGAAACTGGCAAAGAAGCTGTCAGTTGGTATACTTTAATTCCCCATTGTACACTATTGTGAAATGAAGTTCAATTTGCGCCTCCACCGCTACACAAAGTCATTTAGCAGGAAGTTTGCTTGTTACCATTTCTTCAGTTGTGCTTGCAGCAGTTTTTGATTTTGTTCCATCTACAGTGATTAAGTTGGCACCAGTAAAAGGTTTTTCCATATAACCTAACCAATTAGACAAGAACAAAGGGACCGAAAGTGCCCTGCAGTTAATGTCGGATATAGAATATAAAGACAGAGGTGCTTTTATTTTCATTTTGATCCAATTTTCTATGCATGTAAATGCAAAGACATAACAAACTGGTTGGTTATTTTAATCTTTCCAGTCATTTATCAGGCTGATCAGCAAATGGATCCTGATGAATCGAGCAGCATGTGTAAGACTGTTAGATGAGTAAGAAAAATAACTTGAAGATATCACTTCCCGCTCGAGAGAAATTATAAACTCAATTTTTTCGTGACTAATTAAAAAAGGGCAACGATTTTTCTGCAGCCTTTAAAGTACAACACGAGCAGACAACAGTTTCAAGCTCACTTCTCCTCCCTAGGCAGTGTTCGAGCATGCACACACAGACCCCATCAAGTCGTGGAGGTTGGTTGGATAATATTAATAACTCTCGATTACAGCTGACCTGATAAGATTTCATCATCCATAGTGCGCAGGCCTGAGCTATGTGCTCACAGTGATAGACGTGTACACATGGTGGACATTTTATGCCTTCTTTTATTCATCGTGGCCGCAATATGGAAGCAAAGAAGTAAAAATTTCTTTGGAAAACAATGCTACCCTTCCGGAAGGCTCATTAGCTGCATTTATTCTTGTGCTTTTAAATGGCAAATTTATGACAGTGGCAAATAAGAGTACGTGACACTCAAGCTACCCAAGGCAGCATTGCTGCAGCAAAGTCTGTCAGGAAGGTGAAAACGGAAAACTGTGCTCAACACTTTGCCTTTGTTTTGGACAATCGGATCGCTAAGGTTCAAGCTGGCCCTTTAGGCTTAAATTAACTGACGCCATTTCAGGCTTCTCACCCTCATTCTTTGCCCCAGAAATAGGGGCATGCGTGGGGTTAGGGGTTAAGGGCTTGAGGCTAGCATCTGTCATTGCTGGCTTGCGATGTGATGTAGAGAGGGAATGTGATCGCTGTAGAGAGAGTCCAAGGGAGAGTGAAGTGACTTTGTGCATGTGTGTGTATGTGTGTGTGTGTGTATGGAAAGACTAACAGCTGGTGGTTTGGATGTAGAGAAATGCATGGCATGTAGTAGTAACCCAGGACTGGGACACTACTACTGCTGCTGCTGCTGCTGCTGCTGTGTAAGTGGCTCTGTTTGTGTGTTGCAGAGACACTTAAAGTGAAAAAAATAAAGATTTATGACATGAGAAATGAGAATTCTTGATGGTGCAGAAAGAAATTTCTCCACGTAAATAATTGTTAGTTTTAAAATGTGGTTTCAAAAGGGAGTCTTGAGAAATCAGGTGCAAAGACACATACCATGTGACTAATGACACGACTGAAATGCTACCTCCAATAAAAAAGAAATCTTACACCTTAAGTATTTATGTGCTGGCGTGTTCATCAGGGCTCACAATATTTCTGTAGCAATTTTCATGCAATTTTTAAAACTTCTTACAAGGCTGTGGCCCAGAGGCACCTTTCCAGGCTATACTGAGATGGCCTCTGTGGCCTGGAGCAGCGATAGAGACTAGCTGGTCAGACACTAATCACTCAGAAGGAGGGTGGAAAAGGAAAAAATATACTAGAAAAACAACTTCATTTTTTTTTTTTTAAAACCTACAAAATCTGAAAAAACCCCACATAGTTTAAGCATTAAAAGGCAACAAAACTTGATTACTAAACTCACTTTCTCTTAATAGCAATTTCAAAATCTCATCTTATTTCCTCAGCAAATATCGTCAGTGCCACCAAATAATCGGTGCCTCATTTTGCTTTTTACCTGTGCTGTTTCTGCTTTTACAGGCCAAGACACTGGCTGCTTAGGACCTCTTTTTATAAAGTAAACTGACTTCCGAGCAACCTTTTGATCTCTCTGCTACAGCAAAGGCTTCATGTGATCTTTAGTAAGAGATGGTAAACCACAGCCACCAAAGTCCTGCCGCGCCCACAACATTTGCTAATGACAGGCGGCCAGTGGCTCGCATGTCAGCGTCAAAGCAAGTACAAGCTCACAGCTTTAAAAGAAACAGAAGAAACACGGTGAGAACTTAATCTTTATAAAAAGCACAGCAATCAAGCTGACTTTATTAATCAAACTAGTTTGGCTTCTTTGGCTTCTTTGGCTGGCAAACACAAAATACAATGAATTATGCAAATGGGTTCCAAATATTTCATGGTTAACAACGACAACAAAGAGTCGTTCCAGATGCCCTCAGTTACCCTCAGGTAGAGTTTCTTAAGTAGCCAACATTGGAAGGTGTTAACTAACCACGACGCTACCTGTCACATTAACAAATCTTTCTCATGCAGCTGGAAACAAAAATAGATTTTAGTAGTCTAAAGCAGCGGTCCCCAACCATTTTTTGCGCCACGGACCGGTTTATGCCTGACAATATTTTCATGGACCGGCCTTTAAGGTGTCGCGGATAAATACAACAAAATAAAACTAGTACCGGTACTGAAAAAAAGAAAATTTATTCATAACACACGTGAAAAGACCAAGGAACCGAGTAAACGATAAAAACGATAACAAAATAACGCTGAAAAGAGATAAAAACCCTGAAAACTATACATTTCACACCTGAGCCTCAACTCTCGCGGCCCGGTACCAAACGACTCACGGACCGGTACCGGTCCGAGGCCCGGGGGTTGGGGACCGCTGGTCTAAAGTATGTAATCATGTGACCAAGCACTTTTTTCCACTTTCATGTGTGGTATTTTCAATTGTAACTAAGAATTTGTACTCATTATATCGCTGCTTGCACGGATAAAAATGTTGATATTTATTCTAAAACTACCAGTTTTCATGTTATTTAAAACCTCCCATTTTGAACCGCATTAAAAATCTAGTTTATACAAGAAAAAATAAAAGAAGTTACCCCTAACATGCATTTAACAAGGTGCACAGACAGTCCCATTTTCCCACTTACTTTTTTTAGCACTCTCTCTCTTTGTTTTTTAATCAAATTAAGACTGAGAGAATTTTATTAATAATCAATAAAATAACTTCCACTTATCTTCTTGACTACAAAAATGACCTAAAGGGAGACTTCTGACTTCTGTGCATGACATGGAGTGACAGGGGGAAAAAAACAAAACATGTCAGTGTTGCGCTTTAAGCATGTGACAGATGATAAAACTCACTGCTCCAGCAGTTGGTCATATCTGGACTGGGCATCTCTCTCAGCAGCCACTGCTCGGTCTCTCTCCAGCACCGCGCCGTCTCTGGCCTCGCGCAAGTTCCTGATCAAACACACACACACACACACACACAGTTGAAAGACACTCTCATTCCTGTGGAGAGCAATGATTTTAATCATTCGAAGATATGCTGCTATTTTCTTAGTTTTTGAGGTACTGTTACATTGTAACATTGTAACAGCTCTTTCTTGTCTTAAATATCTGTGTAGGCACAAGTAAATACAGTAACAGACAAATGTTATGTTATTTTACTGACCTTTTTTTGAACATGTATATATAAAGAAAAAAAAGAAAAGAAAAGAAACATTAAGTTGACACGAATAAGTATATAATCACACAACTTACACACTCACAAAGGATCAGGGTGAAGTTTACTGCGAAATTTGCTTTACTCTATGTTAGATAAGATGAAAAATAAAAAGACCAAGTGTAGTGTGTGCACAATTATTCTACTTTTTGCTGTTCTCTAATTCACCACAAGTAACTCTACATATTTTAACAATGCAAATATTTATGTTTGATGTCTTGTTTCTTCTCCTCCTCCCGGGGATCTTTTGCTTTTTAGGTGAATTTGTAAACCACAACATCATTGAGTCACCAGCCTCTTCCCTAATGCAATGCTTCAATTTGTAATTATAAACCACTCACTGACTCTTAATGAGTAATGAATAATGTTTGACTTTACTTGGTTTAAACAGCACCCCTGATATTCAGTTTTTCAGCAGTTATACTAAAAGACGCTGATACCTGTTTTCCCTCTCATACATCTCCCTGGAGGTTCTCTGCAGGTTGTCTATCTCCTGACTTGTTTTCAGCCTGATGTTCTCCAACTCCTCTCTTAATTTGCTCTCATATTCTGACTTGTAGTGGTCTCTGTAGAGAAAAGAAGATAAAAAAAATGTTTTTTTTAAATGAACAGAGCATTATACGCAGAAGCTTTCTTCATGTGGGTGAGGTCATAAGAACTGAGATCAGAATACAGCTGGCAGATACTGCGTATCATCATCTAATTTTTATTGACTATTATAATACTTGCACAGCTTACTTCTTCCATATCAAAGCACTAGAATAGTGGCTTCTTATGAGAAGCATAAAAGAACAAAAACAGCAAAGCCGAACCTGGATGCTACATATTTTTCATAGGCGTCTTCCCTGGCTTTTTTAGTGTCTTCTAATTGTACCTGGTCAAAAAAACAGAAACAAAGGTGAAAGCAAACCACACGGGGACTTCTTGTGTTACTATAAGCATTTTGCCAAAGAACTGTCTGAACCTGCAATCTCTCCAGGCGGTCTTCTTCATGTGCACAGCGAACACTGAGTTCCACATTCTGCCTGTGCAGGTACTCCTTGTCCTTCTGCAGGAGTGTCACTGATTGTTGCAATGTTGCCACCTGGAGGACACGAAGGAAGAATACATTTAAAAAACAAAAAACTATTAACACAGAACCATGAAAGAAAGATTTAGAGGGTATTACGAGGAAAGCATCTGTGTGATGCACCTCTTTGCTGAGTGTGTCCCTTTCTCTGGTCACTGCAGCGTGAGACAAGTCTACGGCCTCATATCTCCTCTTTAACTCCTTCAGCTCTGCTTCAAAGTTGTCGCGCTCTCTATAAAACACAACATCAGGAGTGGACACAAATTTAAACTTACAAGTTCAAAATTTAAATATAAAGGTAAGTTTAAATTCATCATCTCCTACTTGTTGTTTTCTGAGGGGAAAAGGGGTTTGGAGCTTGTTGTTTCCAGTTTATTAGATAATATCATAGTGAAATGCTGCTCTTTGAAACATTACATAATATTAAAGTAATTAAAATGATAGCAAACAAAAACTGACGGCTGGTTTTCCTTTTTTAAATAAAACACAAAGGCTCCTGGCGTCCTACTTTTCCACCACATCTATTACAGACATGCTGTTACGCCAGACGATCCATTAAGTGTTTCAACGCCAGTATCAAATGTTACAATGCACTGTTTTCAAAGGATCTGACTCACAGTAGTCAAATTTATAATGTGTTCTTTCATTACTGTTATAGAAGAAAAAGCAGCGGGCTGCTCTTAAATCTACAATACAGTTCTGCATTTTTTCCCCATGTACTGTTTAAAAATTGTGTTTCTGGGACAAGGACAGAGCCTAAAATATGTACTGTGGCCTTCGTGGGAAATATAGAAAGCTCATAAGCTGACCTCTGATTAGCAAATGTCACATAAGCAAACACACCGTTTGATGTTTGGGTAGTTTTCTCTGCGGTAGTCACCATCTTGGATCTGCTGTTTGGTGTCAGCCAGTTCTAAGGTCAATCTCTGACTCCTCATCTCCAGCTCTGTACGCAACCGCCGCTCTTCCTCGTAGCTCTTTGAGGACACATGCACAGAAAAGACAATACTGATAATACAAGAAGCACCTTATCTACTACGACTATTATTATTATTAGCATTATCATCATCATTATTAGCATTAGCATTATTATTATTAGATGTGATAAGACACATTCCCGCATTCAGCACGAGGTGATGCGCAATTTTACAGCCAGACGTCTCCAAATCACAAACCGAAACCTTGCCAAGAAAATAAGGCATCCGAAAGAAATACTAGGAATTCTGCTACTAGTATTCCTTGGACACTGGAAGGAATAATAACGAAAAACTGAAAGATTAGGATTTCAGGAAGAATCCAGTCCAGGCACTCAATGTAGGAGCAACTGATAAAAAGGCCTTTGTTTTTAGTGAGCTAGAGGAATTAGAATATGTACACTAGCATGTATTGGCTTGTGTGTTCTTCAGGGTGCGGGACGTCTACGTTTAAAAAAAAAGAAAAAAAAAAAAAAGTAAAATCACCTGTCACACAGCAATGTTTAGATGCCCTGTGGCATTTTCATCTTAAAGCATCTCTTGCCAAGAAGAGAATTAGGACAGGATATTTTCCACAGTTTTCCCATTCTCAGATGTTCCGAACACAAGGAAATAGTCTGCTTTTAAGACATCCACACTACTGTGTGGGTAATACAAGCATGCTGTTTGGATAGTGCACATGTGGAAGCACACATGATATCCACTCAGTAATGCAGTACAGGAATATTACCTGTGCTATTTACTATCTGTAACAAAGCAACAGCATGCCTACTTTTTACTATGGAACCGTCAAGTTAAATACCAGCATGTCTGGTCCGACTGTGTCAGACATTTGCGTTCTCACATTCACCTCCTTAGGGTGAAAACTGCTTAGCCAACATCCCTCCAGCAGCCCGAGTCTGAATTCATGACATTTTTTTGGCATATTATAACCCTGCTGTCAGCATGAAACAGCATTTTCTCATCATTGTGTCATGCATGCCTACGGGGTGTCTGGTAGTTGTATTGACTGTACTGTTTTTGTTTAACTCACACCAATATCATTCTCAACACTGCAGTTTTTAACATGACCACTGAAAAGTCGCTACGATTGACGCTTTTAGCACATCTTGACCATCTGGGATCTTTGTTTTTACATTTCCTAAACAAGTGACTCAAAGTCTGAGTGTTTCAAGTATGTTGCTTTAAACATAACAAAAGAAAATAAAGACAAAAAAGAACAAGTGTTTGATATGCTACGTAAACAATTATGTGAACACTTTGCACAAGTGCTGCTAGGTTGGGTTTGTGTGTTTTACCTCAATCAGTGTCTTCATCTTGGTTCTGTGCATACCCAGCTCTTCTGTTACACTGCTGTCCTTCAGACTAAGCTCAACCAGCTGGGCCCGCAGAGGAGTCACTACCTCATAGAAACGCATCTAGGGACACAGCACAAAGAAAACGTCACCTTGTTTCTTGATTTCTTTATATGTTGTCCTTTCTAATGACCAATAGAAGACCACCTCATACTCACAGCTACATATTCCTGTATAGATATTTTGTCCTCAGGAAGACCACGAAGCTCCTGGTATCTGTCCTGGGAGAGGTCCAGATCCCTGAGAGATCTCCTCAGTTCTCCAGCCTTCTCACACAGCTGTCGGTTAGTCTCCTCCAGCTGCTGCTGCCTGAGCAGGATGGCCTCCATCTCCTGCTTACGCAGAGCCTGCTGCTTCCTGGTGATGACAGCCTTTTTTAACAAAGTTGACATTTGACCTCAGCAGCTAAATGATGGGACGGAGGGTATATGTAGTTGTATTAGTTAGAAATTACATTACAATGCACTATAGAAGCTCTGCTTATGCACGTTAAAGCACACATAATTGTGTACTTTAACATGCATAACACGCAGGTCCTCTTTCACTGCATCCATCAATCTTCTCTGTGGTATTCCTGTTTTCCTCCTGCCTGGCATCGCCATAAGACCCTGACCTCCAATCCCAGATCCAACAGGATTAGAAATGGTTCAGATTATGCAGTTTGTATACAAAGTTAGAAAGGCAAGGTTGACATGGTTTGGACACGTACAGTGCACGGATAACTGATATATCTGATATAATTGTCCGATATATAAATTATCAATCACTGGACATACTGTATCAATTATTCACGCACTGTACGTGTCAAAACCATGTCAACCTTGCCTTGTTGGAAATACTGCTCAATAGCCTGAGCTGTATATGCATTTCTTGCTCCCAAACATGACACTGATGCTACAAAGGGCACAGGGCAGACACAACATCCTTGTGTGATGTAATACAATGAGATATGGGGGCAGGGGCCACGTCTATAAGAGTGCTGCTTTATATGCACACATAAAGACTTCAATTTAAGTCTTTATGTCTCGGAAAATATAACTAGTCATGAAACCCCTGCTCTGGTTGTGTCCTTTCTCACCTGTTCTCCTCCTGAGTAAGTTTCAGCTGGTTATCCAGTCTTAGGACCAACACTTGTTTCTGATGCAGGGCGTCATTCAGCCTCTCCTCCAACTCCTCAATCTGAAACACCAGATATTTTATTATAGACGCTTTAATTCAATCACAAAACTATTACTGCAACAATGATGCTGCAGTACCAGGTCGTTTTTCTCCTAACCAGGGGAAAAGTTATCTGCAGAAACACTGTCTCCATTTCCCACCCCAAGTCTACCTTTGACATATGATCGGCCTTCATGTTGTCTATGATGAGATTCTTCTGAGATAGCTCGATTTTAAGCAGCTGGATGTTGTGCAGCAGCTCCTTCCTCTCGATCAGCTGGCGGGTCACCTTCTGGGAGCCGTTCCGCTGCTCGTCGGACGAGGAGACATCCTCGGTGGTGGGCACGGTAGTCTCCAAGCTGATGTCCTCAGACTCTAGGTCCAAAGAGCTGGAGACGTTGGCTGCAGTCGGCTTGAGATGCTGCTTCTTCGGAGGCATTTTGTATCGTTTTGAATCCTGATTCTGACTCCTCGGTACCTCTCTGGCTAAACAACTAAACACTGGCAACCAGCGTTAAACAAAGAGGACATGAACTTCATGCTGAATTGCAGTGACACCCCGGACTCAAAAAGAGAAGCCACAGAATTGTTTTTGTTTTCAAGGGTCCCGCTCTGAGCTGCCTGCTAGCCGCCACCGGCTCGACTTCTATGTGGGTTCAGCTACAGCGCCCTCTGTAGTAATAACCGTGAAGTGCAATCGCCATAGAGTTCTCTGTACGTGATAACGATATACCGTCGTGCAGTACCCCCTCCTAACACGGGGGTCGCTATAATAACAACAGCGACAAATAATTCAACTGTTTCCTTAAAAATTTGTTTTCAACAAACAATTAGATGGCCAGCCAAAACTAACTTTTAACATGTATAATATTTTACACAATGCTGAAAAATACTTTTGTGTTTTTCGACATAACATGCTTCTTATTCGACATGATTTCTAAATGCAGAAGATTATAAATGGGAATATAAACGATCAAAAACGCGTAAAGTTAGACGCAGCGTTTTTCTCAAAACCTTTGGAAAGTTTTGTCGGGCCAAAGAGGTAGTTTACACATGGGGAGCTGAAGGCTTACCATCAGTTGGTAGCAGAAAACATCTGAATTTTATCTGTTTTCGGTTTATTATCGTCATTATGTTGAAGTCTAAAACCTTCGTTAAGAAGACCCGGTCGGGTGGGGTGATGAAGGTAGTGCGTGAGCATTATCTGAGGGATGATATTTGGTGCGGGAGTGAAGTTTGCACTGAATGCAAACAGGAGTCCACGGTGCTGCAGAAAGACGCGTGTATGGAGAGCAGTCTCTGCTCCTATCCACATTATCTGGTCCCTGACACCAATGTGGTGCTTCATCAGGTAGTAAAAAGTGACATCAAATTTCTTCAAACAATTGAATATGGTATTCTAAACGTGTAAGCTTTGACTTCTCTTCCCTAGGCACATAGTGCAAGTTTGTGACTCAAGTACTGCGATGATGCCCCTAAAAGTACAGTATACTATAGAAGAAGCACAAATCATGGCTGTGCTCGAGGTAGTAGATAGTAGAAGATGCGAGTGACCAGAATGGACAGGATTAGAAACGAGTACATTAGTAGGACAGTTCAGGTTAAGCAGTTTGCATACAAAGTTAGAGAGGCGAGGCAGCAACAAAAGAGAATATGCCAGAGCAGTTTCATGGATTGAATTAAGGAAGACTTGCAAAGGATGTAACAGACAGTTCTAGGATAGGGTGAGATGATCTGCTTTGGGGGGCCCTAAAGGGGAGTAGTCACAAGAAGAAGACACAAAAAGCACAAACTGGGGCCATTAAACTTATGTTATTGACAAATAACACTTTTTCTGGCCAATGTCAATATTTTCCTTTTTACACACCTATATATCTTTTTCAAAAGTGACCTAACAGAGAGATCAGCAGATATAGTAACAATTACAGATTCAATACAAATTTAATAAAAGTTGGGGTTTTTTGTTTTTGTTTTTACTGACTTGAGTAGTGATCAGTAGTGACTGTTTGCCTATTATTCAAGAAAAAAGACTGACCATATTCAGAAAGTGTTTTTTGGCCAGTTCTTATTAACCAGTTGGAACAGATATCTGACATCAATTTAGGTGAAAGATTCCTTTTAAGCATTGCACCTGATTCCCTAACACTTTGTGTACACTTTGTCCTGCAGATCGATATACTGGAAGATCCTGTGATTTGCAATGTGATTATCCTTCAAACTGTACTGCAGGAGGTGCGCCACCGCAGTGCACCCGTCTACAAACGCCTGAAGGACATTATACACGAGAAAGAAAAACGCTTCTACACTTTTACCAATGAACACCACAGGTAGAGAAACACTGTTGGCATTTTTAACATCATAATGACATCCAAATTTCACAGTATTGTCAAAAATAAACACACACAAAAGTAATAAGTAGAAAGATCTTTTTCTTCTTCATGGTATCAGATCACTTTAAAAAGGCATGAAACTGTATTTTACTTTGAAGCTCGATACCTTATTTTATCCATCCTTATAATTCCTGCTCTTCCAGAGATACATTCATTGAACGTGAACCAGGGGAGAGTGCCAATGACCGAAATGACCGGGCAATTCGTGTAGCAGTCAAATGGTACAGCCAGCACCTGAAGACATTTGAGTCTGACACAGATGGTCTCAAGGTGGTCCTCCTCACCAATGATCAAGGGAACAAGCAGAAAGCACAGGACAACGGCCTGCTGGTGTACAAATGTAATGTATCACATTTTCAGCAAGAAAAGACCTTCTAACTATGTTCTTTTAAATTTAATCTAATTTTAAATGACATCAGCTTTAACAGTTTGTAATAAGAATACTTTTTTAATTTTTTTATAGGTGAAGAATATGTCAAGAGTCTGATAGCAAACCCTGAGCTTGTGGATCGCCTGGCCTTGTCCAGTGATGACAAGGTAAGCTAAAATTGTTACATACAAAAGTCAGGTGTCTGTACCTGAACTTGAATCTGTTTCTCCTGTTTACATATCTCATTTTCTTTTTAACCTAACCTCTTTTTTTTTGGTATTCTTTGTCTCGCCTCCATCAGAATGAAATTACTAGCAGTAAAGTGTTATTTCCAGAGCACCTTCCCCTATCCAGAATCCAAACAGGAATTAAAAGTAGCTCCTTCCTCCAAGGCACCTTTAGGGCCAGCAGAGACAACTATTTGGAGGCAACTGTGTTTGTCCAGGGAGAGGGAGAAGACAGCACAGAGGTGTGTGTGTGTGTGTTTGTGTGCATGTACATCTGTCTGTGAATATATAGTTCTGTTGATCATGTCGAACAGTCTAAGTTTGTAATTTTCTGTGCAAATAATCGTGAAAGCATGCTGAAAGCTCTCTACGGTCCTTTTATTTGTTCACAGGTTCTCATCCAGGGTCTTCAGAACCTCAACAGAGCAGTGCATCAGGATGTGGTTGCTGTGCAGCTTTTGCCGCGAAGTGAGTGGGTGGCACCGTCCTCAGTTGTCCTTCAGGATGAAGGCACCGCAAAGGATGATGAGGATGCTGAAGAAGAGGAGGGGAAAGTAAGTTTTATGGAAGAAGATGGTATTAGATAAATCTGTATATTTGCTTATAGTTGAATTGTTTGCTTTTTTTATTTCTTATAATTTAGTTGGAATATAATTTAAAATAAGTATTGGTGTAGATGTTTGAATGTATAAAGGTGTCTTAGAGTGTTATTAATAATCTCCTTGTTGTTTGAGCAGTTGAGAACAGCTGCAGTCGAGGCAGCGAGGAAGCCCACTGGCAAGGTGGTGGGGATCATCAAAAGAAACTGGAGGCCATTCTGTGGCATGCTGAATGTTTCCCAAATCAAAGAGGTACGTTAAAGCTGCTCAATAATATATGGAACATTCCTCAAAATTGATATGCGTCTTTGACGTAAATTAATACAACTTAGTAGTTACAGATAGTTTTGTGCTTCCTCTTATTGTCAGCACTGACAATCCCTATTCTTTTCCTGTTCTTTCAGTCCACTCGGCATCTTTTCACCCCAGCAGACCGCCGTATCCCACGCATCCGCATTGAAACGCGGCAGGCATCCACACTGTCAGGCCAGAGGATCATGGTGGCCATTGATGGCTGGCCCAAAGACTCCAGATATCCAAATGTGAGTTGGAATCTCTTCAGACTGTCAAATAATTGGAACCTGCATATCTACTTACCATTTCTATGTTAAGTTTAATATAAAAAATTAGCACAACATTTACAGGAAAATATAAAATTCAAGGAATACCAATTTGTCCATGGAAACATTCTATTTTATTATTGTTATTTTTGTTATTTAGGGTCATTTTGTACGCAGTTTGGGAGGTGCAGGGGAGAAGGACACAGAAGAGGAGGTGCTGCTACTGGAGCATGATGTCCCTCATCAGGCTTTCTCCCAGGCAGTACTCAGTTTCCTCCCTAAGATGCCGTGGGCCATCACACCAGAGGTAACATTTTTTTTCCTTAAGATAAATGGAGCACAGGTATATTATTTAAGTCATCAGTTGGTCCATCAACCTATAATTTGACAGCATGCACATATACAATTGTGCATAAATGAATGTAAATGTATGTGGTGCAGGACATGATGAAAAGGGAGGACCTGAGGCCTCTGACAGTTTGCAGTGTGGACCCTCCAGGATGCACAGATATAGACGATGCTCTGCACTGTAGAGAGCTGGAAAATGGAAACCTCGAGGTACAAATACACTATTAGTAAAAGTACTTGTGTCTGTAAAACTGTATATGCGAGTCTTTTGATGTACTATCCATGTTCGTTTGCAACAGGTGGGCGTCCACATTGCTGATGTCAGCCACTTCATCAGACCTGGCAACGCTCTAGACAAAGAGGCAGCCAACCGTGGCACCACAGTGTACCTGTGTGGCAAAGTAAGAAAGTCCACCTCGCATGTTCGCATCCTTCATTGATGCGTTTTAAACCACGATATCAACAGCAGTACCACAGAAGAGAAAAAGGAAGCACTCTGCTGACAACTATTTTAATTAGTCAGGTGAAACAATTTAGGACTGAAGTTAAACTCTTTTACTTTGGGAGGAAGTAGAAGTGAAATATACTTTCTCTGTAGCACCTTAACCTCTTCGATCTCAATGTTTTGTCACAAAAGTCAGCTAATGCGATGCAGTTTTATCAGTGCAGGAGAAATCTTAGAGTGCGTTGATCTCAAAGGGACTGGGCTGGCTTTTGTCAGTATTTTATAACATTTAGTAGTGCAACTGGAACTTCTCACAGAACATGCCATAATACATCACCTTTTTCATCCATAAAATCCAGTCCAAATCCCTGCAGACCTCCATTCATCCGTTCCATGTGCACAGATTTTGTTTTACCAAGTCGAATGTAGCTCCTGCTCCCTGTCACTCTGCATTTTTGGTCTATTTTTATTGGTCACATAAATATGTGTCACACCGAATGTACGTAATACCGTGCTGATTTCAAAGTTTGATTGTGCGATTGCTCTCCGGTCTTCATGCTTGCATTGCACTGTGCTGTGTTTTTCTCAACACTGCAGGAAACTGTGAAAACAAGCTTATTAGGGCCCTTTCACTTAGAAATGGCTCTAATAGTAGAAGCAAATGAGCAAATTTCTTCTTATTTGTATTTTATTGAAATCATCTGATCATGTTTGATTTTTAACAGT